TGATGGGAACTCCATACATTTCAAATCAAACACCTAATTCAATTATTTGCATTAAATGTTTCTGCACTACCAGCCAAACTGTGAAACATGATAAAGTCAATCAAAATCGTACGAGTTGTTATCATTCTGGAGTGGCCCTGGTTTGAATACCCGACTGGGCATTCTTGACCTGGGGTCGTTTTGTGGAGATTCTCAACCCATCAAGCTTGGTCCTATCTGAGGCAGACCTTAAATTCGGAGGCCCCGCTTTTTAAATAACCTAACTAATAGTGGTGCATTGACAGGGGCATTAAATCCATACCAACTAAAGTCGAAGGACTTTGGCATGTATGCACGTCTGGCAGTAGGGATGACGTGACAAGCATAATAACGACCAACTTGACCAGCAAGTTGAGTCTCTTTAAAATTGTAAAATTCTATGAGGTTGGGCTATTCGTAACGTATCGAGTGTATTTGGGAGACATCGTGGTGAAACCAGGCGCTTTAGCCTCCATTTTCAAGCTAATTTTACGTCTGAAAACAGGCCAACTCCCACTTTCTCCAATTGAAAATATCTGAACTTACATTCAAGATCGATGGGTACTTTTTTCATCGAAAGTAAGACGAATGTTACTAAAAACTTCACATGCCCAATAATTGACAAGCGCTTGCTTTCACCGCGTTGTGACACATTTCATTTAGTTGCATTCCTCTTTAGTCAAAAAGTCATCTTTGCTGCAATAACTCATTGGTTGTATGTACCTATATTTCTGCGAGTAGGGGGAAAAAACATTAATTCATCGACCAACAATATTTTGTAATGTTTTACTTCTCCCATGTCCCACAGCGTTGAATTGTTGCTGTTATTTTTCCATAGGTCATTCAGTTATTGCTATCCACTTCTTAGATATCTTCTGCATGGCATTTTTTATTTTTTTTTAAATATATATTTTTTTTTGGGGGGGGATTGTTGTTCAATGACAACTAAACGTTAATTGAGGATTGTGAGTTAAGAGTGGATAAGTACTATGGAATGATGAGATGTGTTAATTTATCTAGTTTTAGTGTAATATATGTGTGGTTTTCAGTTTGTGTACGTTTGTGAGTTTAATTCTTGTGCCTGTATAACTGTGTATGAGTAATTGTGCGCGTGTGTGTGTGAGTTTGTGTGTGTGTGG